GGGATGGCGGGGAGGGAGGGAGGGGGGAAGTAGCTGACACTGAGCATCTTTCTCATGTGTTACCGGGTTGATCCTCACAGTAAATGTGAGCCTGTGTTACAAAAAGGTGGAAGCTCAGAGAGGTTAGGTAAGATGGGTCAGGGCCACACAGCCAGGAAGGGTCCAGATTCACCCACTCTTTACAGCTGTGGGCTGTAAGTTTCTCCAGGCTGCTGTGCCCACTCTCTGAGCATCTGAGGGGCTGGCAGTGGAACTGGGAGGCGTGATGGTGCAAGGGTAGTAACCAGGGCTGCTTTCTTGGGCAGTTACACCTGACTCCACTCTTACAAGACCTGCAGTTGGTCTAATGCTCTCCTGTTCCCATTTTAATATTTCTATTAATTTTTAAAATACATTTTTATTGATTTCAGAGAGAAAGGGGGAGAGAGAAACATCAACGATGAAAGAGAACTATTGATCGTCCCCCACTCTTCCCCCTCCCGCCCCCCGCACACCCCACATTGGGGATAGAACCCACAACATGGGCATGTGCCCTGACCGGGAATTGAACCGGTGACCTCTTGGTTCATGGGTCGATGCTCAACCACTGAGCCACACCAGCTGGGCTCTGTTGATTCTTTAACCAGCAAATTACTTAGCTGGTCCTGGCACTGTCACCACACTGGTCAAGGGCTTTGGAGCAAGACAGCCCTGGGTCTTGCTCCCTAACTCACCCACTGTGTGACCTGAAGCAAGCGACTTCACCTCTCTGTGCCTCAGTTTCCTCATGTGAAAAGCAAGAACAACCTCAGAGTGGTGTTGTAAAGATTAGCACTGTGTAATTAGCCCAAAGTAAATACCACTGAAATGATATATTATTTGCCTTATAAAGTACTTAGCACAGGTCCTGGCTCAAAGTAATCCCCCCCGTGAGTACAGTAGTCGCTATAATCGTGGGGAAGACACAGGTCGCCTGCCAACCTCCCTCCCCACCCGGCTCCCTTAGGATGTCTCCGAAGGACAGAGAGGAGCAATCGCAAGCTCCCTGGACTAGGAGGGACTCCGCTGGGATGTGCACATGCATCCTCCCACCCCCCTGCCCCCCGCTCCCCCGCTGCCACTGACCCCAAGGATGATGCTGGCTCTGCCTCTCTCCCATATAAACACCATTTGTCCCAACCTGGACCCCCAGCAGTTCCACCCATCAAGCCTTTGGAGAGGGAAAGGAGAGGGCAGCCTGGGCGCGTGGGCTGGTCCCCGCTGCGATCCAGAGGCACATCCTGTTCCAGTGTTGCCATGGCACAGCCAAACATCTGCCACAACAGACGGCTGGGGCTGGGCTGGCAGCGGGGCCGTGGACGGGTGAGGGCCCGGGCAGGCATGGGAGGCAGGGTGGAGGGGCAACAAGACTTAAGCCTGGGAAAGAACCCCTGCCCCAAACACATGCATACACACAAACACACATACATGGCACACACCCATGCATACATGCAAGTTGGCCTTTCAGGACAGGCGGACTTCCCAGAGGCAAGCGTTCCCGATTCTCAACTTTCTTCCTGGAGGTCCCGGAAGGAGATCCCAAATGCGCAGTCCTGGCAGGACTGGGCCCTCCTGAATTCTCACCTGGGTCCCATCCTGCTCCCAAGATGGGAATTCGCTGAACTGTTTGTTATTGTTTTTCCTGATTAGAAAGTAAAACACAGTCGCTGTAACAAAATCACATGACCCAGAGGAGTGGCAAGAGCTGCACTCGTGGCATATGAGCCAGCCGGCTGCTGGGCCTCAGACCTCTCATTCAAAATAAGTATAAGAGGGCGCCCCAGGCCTCTGACGTCAAAACCCATGCTCTGGATAGAAAGAAACCTCAATGATGAGAGAGAACCATTGATCGGCTGCCTCGTGCACGATCAGGGATGGAGCCCACAACCCAGGCATGGGCCCTGACCGGGAACCAAACCGTGACCTCCTGGTTCAAAGGTCGAGGCTCAACTGCTGAGAAAGCCCATGCTCTTTCCACTAAATTGCTGCCTCCTCAGCAATTCAGATCATCTCCTTGAACCCCACAAGGGCTGGATTCTCAGCCAAGGGCCAGGGGTACTCACTCTTGTTTCTGGTCACCATCCCTCAGCTCCGTGGGGGTGGGGCAGCCGACTTGGACATTGCATCGCTG